TAGTCTATTCAAAAGAATGTTGTGGTCGATAGTGTCGAACGCAGCGATAAGATCTAGCAGCACTAATAGAGAGATACAACCACGATCAAATGATAAGAGCAGGTAATTTGTAACTCTAATGAGAGAAGTCTCAGTATTATGATACGGTCTCAGTCTAAATCCTGTCTGGAAATCCGCACAGATACCATTTTTCACTAAGAAGGAATATAATTGTGAGGATACTACCTTTTGTAGTATTTTGGACAGAAAAGGGAGATTCGAGATCGGTCTGTAATGAACTAGTTCTTTGGGGTCAAGTTGTGTTTTTTTAATGAGAGGCTTAATAACAGCCAGTTTGAAGGTTTTGGGGACATATCCTAATGACAATGACAAATTTATAATAGTCAGAAGAGGATCTATGACTTCTGGAAGCACCTCTTTTAGGAGCTTAGATGGAATAGGGTCTAACATACAGTACATGTTGTTGGTTTAGATGATTGAACAAGTTTATACAATTCTTCCTCTCCTATAGTAGAGAATGAGTGGAATTACTGAAACTGAAATCATTAAAGCTAAATAGAAATATATATTAAAAAAATTAAACTAAAATGTAATTGAAAATAAAAAATCTAAAAATAAATACTAAATTAAAATATTTATAAATACTATCATAGAATATAATTAATAGTCAAATAACATTGGTAGGCACATAGCAACAACCCAGAACACCCTAGCAACCATCTAACAATGCCCTAACAACAGTTTAGCAACATGCTAAAAATCACTGGCTAAGACAACCTAGCAACTAGCATAAGTTACGCACATTCAATGGTTGATAAAAGGCAAAAATCTAGTTAGCTTTTGAAAGAATGAGGTACATTTAATTTGAAAGCAAAATTTGTAAGATTCAAATCAAAACATTGTGTTAATACAAGAAAACAAGCCGCAAATAAGTCCCAAAGGCCTATGCATCATTATCTCTGTCAATCAGCCTCTGGCAATAACAGTAATGGGTGATTTGGCTGACCAGGAACAGGCCGGGTCTGTGACTGTGTACCTTTCTCCTCTCAGGAAGCCTGTAGGTAAATGTGACAGGAGTGAAACCCATTGAAACTGGCTGTGTGCCAGAGAAGGCACTAGTCAGTTTGGTCTGAGGCCTGGGAAAGGGGGCGGGCAAGAAAGCTAACAAAGAGGTGAGTAACCGTTTCTTTAACCACAAAGTGAGATGAACACCTCACCATTCATGGGAACCTAAACCTGTCAGGCCTGGCCTCTGTTGCTCAACATGTGGAAAGCGGTATCATGCTAGACTCCAAAGCACAAATGCATCCTCAAAGAAACGTGTGTTTGTGTGTGTGTGTGTGTGTGTGTGTGAACATTGCTGAATTTACAAGCAGAGAAGATTAGTTTAATTACTTCATGTCAGGCTAATTATAGAAATGTCTTATTTCTTGCTTTCCTGTAGTTCTCTGACTTTTTACTTAATATACAGGTGCATCTCAATAAATTAGAATGTCGTGGAAAAGTTCATTTATTTCAGTAATTCAACTCAAATTGTGAAACTCGTGTATTAAATAAATCCAATGCACACAGACTGAAGTAGTTTAAGTCTTTGGTTCTTTTAATTGTGATGATTTTGGCTCACATTTAACAAAAACCCACCAATTCACTATCTCCTGTATGTTCACTATACTGCTAGAATAGATGTAATAACAAGTACTGTATTGTTTGATTTCATTCATTCAGTCATTTTGTGGTTCTAACAAACATGCGTCATTTGATCTTTCATATTGTTAGGAGTGGCGACACCTAATGAAGTCCTAATAATCCATAATGGTTCACTTCAGTGCAACAGGAATTGTGCAACTCATTTAAACAGGATTGCTCTTCAGGTAGCAAGAGCGTAACCCCACAGTGGAAGTGATTCATTGTTGTTAGGCATTGTTGCAGCAATAGTGAGCAATACCATCATGCACATGACAATTTCACTATGTGGTTTTTGTAATTTAAACAGGTACTAATGGCAGCCGTTACTTCTGTAATTCAATATTACTGTTTAGCGTTTTATGAGACATGGGAAAGTTTAAATGTAAACTGTTATGATAGAAATTTGAATTTGATCTAGAAAATTATAGTTTGTCAAGACACTTTAAATACTGACACCATATTATAGCTTTGCCTGAAAGTTTAAAACATTGTCGCTCACCGATGAATCCTCTGCAGTAAATGGGTGCCGTCAGAATGAGTTCAAACAGCTGATAAAAACATAATAATGACGAATAATCCACACAACTCCAGTTCATCAGTTTAAATTTTGCCATCATTTAGTCACCCACAAGTTTGACCAAACCTGTTTGAGTTTCTTTCTTTTGTTGAACACAAAAGAAGATATTTTGAAGAATGCTGGTAACCAAACAGTTGCTGGTAGCCATTGACTCCCATAGTATGGAAACAATACTATGGAAGTCAGTGGGAAAACAAACAAACAAAACAGAATTTCCATTTTTGGGTTCACTATACCTTTAACGTCTTGTGAAGCGAAATGCTGAGTGTTTGTAATGTATAAAGTCATAATTAAATTCATATTTTACATGGTTGATTGATGGACTGTAATGCAATGTGGATTAATTGTAGACAGCTGTTTGGACTCTAATTCTGATGGCACCCATTCACTGCTGAGGATCCAGTGGTGAGCAAGTTTTGTAATGCTAAATCTGTTTCGATGAAGAAATAAACTTCTCTAGGTCTTGGATATTCTGAGGGTGTATACATTTTTTGCACTATTTGGTGAACTACTTCAAAAGCCTTGAAGTTTGAATTCTATAAAGAATTAAGCATTTTCTAAGAAAGAAAAAGATGTGGAACTTTTGGAAAAACGTCTAGCCAATGTAACAGTCTGAATTTCATTTTTTGAGTAGTTTGAACACTACAAACAACAGTAACAAGCCCTTTGTCTCCTGTTTACACTTCCTGAGTACGTGAGTGAAATCCTCTCCCACATTCATCCGAGCTCGGCTCAAAGTCACAGCGTGAGTTCACAATGTCTTCATATTCCTTCAGTACCTGACACTTCTGTGTCTCGTTTACACCCTCTGAAAATATTTGCAGGACCATTTACATCAAGTACTCACGCTGTTTGGGAAGCGTATTCCGATCTCTAACATTTGTTTGCTATGTACATAATTTAGTAGCACATAGTGTGTGTGTGTAAAGAAAGCGATGTTTGTTCTCATAACCACATATTTAATTTAGGCATTTAATTATTTTTAATCAAAGTGAATTTAAACATTCACAAGTTCATTTTAAGTAGTTTGGAAAAAAAACAATATTTCAAACGATAATATAATTGTATTCAGCTAAGATACAATCAATTTAACAAAAGTGACAGTAAATATATTTATAATGTTACAACGGTTTCAACAAAAATATTAAGCCACATATTTTTTTTCTACATTTATAATATAAAAAAATGTTTCTTGCACACCAAATCAGCATATAAGAGTGATTTCTGAAGGATCGTGACACTGAAGACTGGAGTAATGGCCGCTGATTCAGCTTTGCCATCCTACGAATAAATTACATTTTAAAATATACATATTAAAATAGAAGTTATCTTTAATTATATTTCACAATATTATAGTTTGCATTGCATTTTTTGTTGAATAAATGCAGCCTTGTTGAGCACAAAATACAAAAAAAAAAATCTTACAGACTCCAAACTTTTGAATGTTGCTTAACTGAGCTCAAAAATACAATTAGGGAACAATGTCCATTTTCATCATGTTATTTATTTGATATTTAAGAGAAACACATGATCGTGTAAATAAACAACGTTCACATAGAACACTGAAAGCAGGAAAAAAGGACAAAAACAGAGAACTTGCATAGTTGCATTGGGAAAACAGCATTGGAAATGTATTTTGCCCTTTAAATTTATTTTTAAATGATGCAAAGAAACACTGAAGGAGAAGCTGTATAAAAGTGCTGCTTGAATTTGATCAAAAGGCAAAACAATAGTGAAGACAGATAAAATGATCAAGCGGTACATCCTTCTTGCCTGAGGCATCAAAACAGAACTGTTAAAAACAAACAGCATTTAAAAAAAGATAACTTCCACAAGAAGCATATTTGTAACAAAGACAGCATTGTTTACCCTGTGAGAACACACACTGTCAGAAAAAGATTAATAAAATTAACATAACCAAGCTACGGCTCCACAAAATGGGCTGGGCTTCTATACTTTCATCTGTGTATGCGCTCTCACAACACATTTGCACAAGAGAAGACGCTAAACCTGTCTTAGGAAACCAGGAAAAACCTTGCCGAATTTTCCCCGGATGTAGGAAACGATTTTCACACAAGCCTAATAATCTTATCTTGCCAATTTGCAAGACAATCCTGAGCTAAGGGTTCTCAGGAGAACAGGCTGAATCATTGTAAGAGTGATGTCGGATTTATATGGTCACAGGCACCTAAGAAGGAGACATCTCACACATTGGCTTTAGTTTGGGCTGTTGCATATGAAAGAGTCTGTCTAAGTAGCGCCCGACACAAAAGAGATAAGATCCGCTCTTGTTCCCTCGACCATCAGAGACATCTCCACGTGAGCACCATTCAAGCTTTGAATAGGCAGCTCTCCAGCTCATGCAAATTCATTCATTTACATATGGTGGGTGCTCTTTGTGAACAATAAATGATTTAAGGAGTAGTTTTCTATAATCCTTCTTCATAATGTGTCTATAAATCTTACAGCTAGTGTTACTTATACAGCTTGTGCGATTAAAACGCTCTGTAAACTTTGTGTCGAGTAACGCAACAGCTCTCAGATGTCACTCGAACGTTTCCTGGGAAGTTTCCCACAGATCAAACAACTCCGCCCATAAAATAAAGCTAAATGACCGTAGGTTTACACATTGTCCAAAATAAATTAATATCTCATGTAAACAGTCCACACATTTTGACCCACAGGGTCAGATGAAGCAGAAGAACTTCTTCCAGCTGCACTTGGAAAAAGCTTTAGCTCGTCTGTCTGACAATCTCAGTTTTTTAGCCTTCCTGGCCTTGTGTTTAATAGCCGCGAATATTGCCGCGTCGAAGGCCTCCTTTAGGTTCTTCTGGGTCAGGGCCGAACACTCCACGTACTCGGCGGCCCTGATCTTCTCGGCGAGGCTCCGTGCCCGTGAGCTGAACACGGGTTTGACCTTGTACCTGTCCAAGTCTATGAGAACGTTAACGTCCAACATAAGGTCCGACTGAGTTCCGACTAAAATGATGGGGGAGGATGGGTTACACGCACGAATCTCAGGGATCCATTTCTTGGTTATGTTCTGGAATGACGTGGGGTTAACCACACTGAAGCAGAGAAGGAAGACATCCGTGTGCGCGTAAGACAGAGATCTGAATTCATCAAATTCTTCCTGCAAGTCAAAGACAAAGACAGATAAGAACACTTGACAAAGTTAACAAAATTTTGTTTATCAAAATGTACACTTTACAAACTTTTTAAATGACAGTTTACAGACTTTTTAACAGAATATACACTTTTTTCACTGTTTACACTTTACAAACTCTTAAACAATGTTTTCAATTTACAAACCTTTTCAAGGTTCTTTACAAACTTTTTTTTTTTTTTACAATGTTTACACTTTACAAACTTTTTTTTTTAAGTTAACAATTTACCAAACTTTCTGAACAGTTTACACATACTTTATCCATTCTCAACTCACAAGCAATTACAACAACTAATGTGAAATATTTGATTAAATTGATCACAAATTAACAAAACAGTTACCTGTCCAGCAGTGTCCATCAACTGAATCCGCACAGGGGTCCCATCCACCTGAACTTGTCCTGAATAGGCATAATGTAAAGACTGTTTAAGTTTTCATTCTCATAATTCATCTAATTAATTTAACCACCAGGGTTTAGAAGAGGTCAAAGATCATCCCTTTACCTGAGAAGACGTCAAAAGCCGTCTGTTTGTAATCCGTAGGGTATCCATTGGTTGTGTAGCTGACAATCATACTAGTCTTTCCGACCGCACCATCCCCAACCAGCATACAGCTGATCCCGGGCTCCAGCGCGTCGTCCTGCTCTAAACACACGGACGGAACTCTTGACTCGTGGTAAAAGTAATCCATTCGAGGTGGCATGTCCAACAATTAAAGCCACGAAGAATTGTCTTCAGGAAAACTTTGTAAACTCCACAGTATTGGGTGGTGTCTTTGTTGAGACTGATGAGTGACTCATTACTTTCGCAGCTCAAAAGCTAGCTCTCTCTGATCTGTGAAGAATCTCTCTCTGTGCCTTTTCAATCAGCGATTCGGAGAGGCTTGACTTTGCATAGCCACGCCCACCGCAGCCACGGGCCTCAATGGAAAGAACAAATCTTTGGTTTGAACACAGATAAGCTATTTAACGATTCGTTAACGATTTTAATCCCAAACGATTCTCAATGAAACAAAGTGCACGCCTTTTCTAAACGGTTAAATAAAATGTATTACTGTAACTGGCTACGAGTTTCTTTTATTATGCAATTGAATAGGCTAAAAATGTACTAAATGTAGAATACAGTATTGTCCAGAGGCGTTTTGTGCTGTTTTAATAAGAGTCATCGTATTTAAGAGGAAAAACTGGAATTAAACAGCCCTGCTCGACTGACACGAGCCGTGTAAAAATGGTAAAAATAAAGACAGTCTGCAATTTTCATTTTTATTTTATAACTCTTTTTAGACCTCTTTGGTTCTGTATTTAAAATGTTAGACTGCCATTATTGATTAAAAATAAATTCGATTTTTAAAGTAGCACAACATAACCAATACAAATTAAGCATAATAACCCCAATAGTTTATAACATTGTAATAATATCAAACTGTAAAAGAGATGAGACAAACTACAGGAGTGAGGTGAGCCGCCTGGCCGGGTGGTGCAGTGACAACAATCTCTCTCTGAATGTGGACTTGAGATTTAAGACTAAATCTATGAGATTCAATCCTAATTTAAACAGTGCCACTACGTGGACAGATAAAAAACAACAGTGAAGTTTTGTCATGTAGTCACATGATACTCATCAGCTCAGCTGACCAAGACAGCAACGCACACAACACAACTTGGTCTTATTGCTGTCCTTATTCATTCATAAAATATAAGTTAAAGCTCAGTTTCGTTTTATTTTTTGTCTGTTTTAGTTCCAGTATATATTAATTAGCACATAACGGAGGCCTTGCCAGTAAATGAGCTTTTGAACCGGTTATTAGCTCACATGCTAGCGTGTTATAGGTGGGAACAGCTGCTAGAGATAACGTTACTGTACTGTACATCGTTACGTGCAATGTGAACACAGCTTCAGTATTTGTTGGACATACTGTAGTTTTGTGAATATTTGATCATTTGCAATGGCATCTATTCTGGATCAATATGAAGATTCTCAGAACATCCGTCAACACAGCCGTGTGTCAGCGGCCAACATCGGGATTACTCATTCAGGTATAAACCTCTGTATCTACAGCTTTTAGGATATTGCAAACATTATGATTGGGTAATTTGGGGTGACTGGTACTTTACATGGTTTTTTTTTCTTCCGTTCAAAGGGTTTGTGAATGTAAGGTTGGAGGAAGAGAAACCCATTTTCAACAAGCAGCGCATCGATTTCTCACCTCCCGAAAAAATCAACCACTTAACAGTGTGCAACAACCAGTTATGCATGAGTCTGGGGAAAGACACCCTGCTGAGGTAAAGCTGCCATTTCTCAACTCTATGTTATCAACAACTGTTTAATTGGGATATTTTGCAGCTGATATGTTTTGCATTGATTAGTTTATGTACATGCAATTAGTGATTAATGTGTATCTTATTGTCTTAATATTGAAAGGTGAAATGACTAAGCAGTGAGGATGTGGACCATTAAAGACAATTCTCTTTGAAATGCAAATTTAATCTGGTCACAGTCTGTTAAAGTGGGATAAAAATCACTTAATCTGCCTTTTATTTGTGTTCTTGTAAAAAAAAAAAAAAAAGGCTAATTATGATTAATTTGCATTATGCATGTCATTAAAATATGTATAGGATGAATTCCTGTAAACTGACTTGAAAGAGGCCAGCAACATTTACAGAGCAGTTTAAAGTGTTGTAGCCTAATATGTTGACATACGTATTATGTTTCAGAATTGACCTTGGAAAACCTGATCAGCCAAATCAGATTGAACTGGGAAGAAAGGATGATAGCAAAGTGCACAAACTTTTTCTAGATCCTACAGGTAATCACGTGTCGATGTTCATACCTTGTAAGAGGATTTAAATGCATTTGGGCCATCTATTAGACGTCATTAGACACATAAGTGGTCTGATTAGATTTCCATTGAAATTAGTATGATAAAAGAAGCATCCCAAAGTAGTTTAACAGATGTGAACTGGGATATTCAATTAGGAAAATGTATATTTTCATTGCTTGGAAACTAGTACAATGGATAAACACATGAAATGTAATCTGTTTTTGATATGATTTATATCATGTAATGCTCTACAATGCACCCCATTAAGTGAAACCAATTCTATGTTTAAGCCTGATATTATGATCTGTCTTGTGTGATCCATTCACAAATGGTCAGGTGAGACGCAGCAGTGTTTACACCTGGTAATAATGTGCATTTGTCATACAAACACTATTTAAGCTTTGCAAAAATAAACATTTTTGAGTTTTCCATTAACCTTTTAAACTAGTCAGCTGGCATATGAGTTTTTTTTTTTTCAATGATTCTTTGTCTGTTTTCCTTTTATAACAGTAAATACCACAAATTAATCAGTTTAATTATGTTTTACCCTGTATGCTACCATTTAATGTTTTAATAACAAATAACATTAAATCATTTGAAAATAAATATGAAATAAAAAATGTAAATAAATTAAATGAGAAGTGCAAATTTATAAATGTAAATATAAAATTGTAATTTTAAAGTTATACTTTTTTTTTTAATTAGAAAGTTATTTTTGTTTAAAGCTGTAACTAGCAAAGTTTAATATCTCTTTTTGGCACATTGTTTAATTGACAGCTTGGTCTAAATGCCTGACATTGCAAGATTATCTTGTGATAGTCAATAGCACAAACCTTACAGTAATGTTTTGCCATGTATGCCATGATTTAATGTGTAATAATATTAAATAATTTAGAAATTAATATTAAATAATACATTTTCAAATATATATACAAATTGTTGCATTTCTAAATGTGTGTGTATATATAGCTGTAAATGTAAAATGAAAATACATATTTAGCAGCAAAGTTTAAAAACTGTCTTCGGCACAGTGGTTAATTGACAAGTGAATAGGCTCATGAGAAGGATTAGCTTTTACAATACAAATACGACATGGTAATTTTGAACCCCATTTACGCCCATGTTTAGCATTGACTGAAGATAGATCTTATACCAGGTGTAAACTGGATCAAAAGCTCAGGCCTGGCATTTTTAAACTTGCAATTTAGTGTTGAACTGCTTAAATTTACTTGCTTTTTAATGCAGTCTGTAAAATGACCTTATCGATTGTCTTGCAGGGTCACATTTAGTCATCAGCCTCACCACAAACGAATGTGTATACCTAAACCGAAACACTCAAAAGGTCCGAAGCCTGTCACGATGGAGAGGCCACTTGATTGAAAGCATAGGATGGAATAAATTAATCGGCTCTGAGACCAACACCGGGCCGATTCTGGTCGGCACCAGCCAGGGAATCATCTTTGAAGCGGAGATCTCTGCCTCAGAGGGCTCTCTGTTCAACACTAACCCAGACCAGTACTTCAGACAGGTTCATTCCCTGGAGGAGGATGGTAAGCCAGCTCCGGTTTGTTGCCTCGAGGTAGAACGTGGCTTGGAATCCAAGTACTTCATTGTTGCGACCACACGGAAACGCCTGTTCCAGTTTGTAGGAAAGCTGGCAGAGGGATCCGAGCAGCAGGGGTTCAGCTCCATCTTTGCCCAGAACCAGGATCTCCTACCCAGCTTCCAGGAGTTTCCAGTCAACATGGGCTACAGTGAGATTACGTTCTACACGTCCAAGTTGCGCTGTTCCCCGAAGACCTTTGCATGGATGATGGGTAATGGGGTTTTGTATGGACAGCTGGACTATGTGCGGCCCGACTCTCTACTCAGTGATGTTCAAGTGTGGGAATACACCTCAGACATCGATTTAAACTCCGTCAAGCCCATCTCTATAGTCCTCACCCAGTTTCACTTCCTGCTCCTGCTCCCAGACCGCGTCAAGAGTATTTGCACTCTGAACGGACAGGTAGTGCACGAAGAAAACTTTTTTCCGGAAAAGTTCGGCAGTCTAAAAAAGATGATCAAAGATCCAATCACTGGGCTCGTGTGGATCTACACCGAGAAAGCTGTGTTTCGCTACCACATCCAGAGGGAGGCACGGGACGTTTGGCAGATGTACATGAACATGAATAAGTTTGACCTGGCTAAAGAGTACTGCAAAGACAGACCAGAATGCCTAGACATGGTGCTGGCCAAAGAGGCGGAGCACTGCTTCCAAAACAAGCGCTACCTGGAGAGTGCCAAATGCTATGCTCTCACTCAGAATTACTTTGAGGAGATTGCGCTGAAGTTCATCGAGGCCAAGCAGGAGGAGGCCTTGAAAGAGTTTCTGATTAAGAAGCTGACCAACCTCAAGGCCACCGAGAAGACTCAGATCACCCTGCTGGTCACCTGGCTGACAGAACTCTATCTGAACCGGCTCGGTCAACTGGAGGTCGATGACGGCAAGCAACACCTCTTTCTGGAGACCCGAGAAGAGTTCCGCACCTTTCTTAAAAGCCCCAAACATAAAGACTGCTTCTACAACAATCGCAACACCATCTACGACCTGCTCGCAAGTCACGGCGACGTGGACAACATGGTGTATTTCTCAGTCATCATGCAAGATTACGAGCGCGTCATATCTCATTACTGCCAGCATGATGACTACAGTGCAGCCTTAGATGTTCTCTCCAAACACTGCGATGACAAGCTCTTCTACAAGTTCTCCCCGGTCCTCATGCAGCACATCCCCAAAAAGGTGGTCGATGCATGGATTCAAATGGGAAACCGGTTGGATCCGAAGAATCTGATCCCAGCGCTGGTGAACTACAGCCAGATGGGCAGCATGCAGCAGATAAACGAGACCATCCGGTACATGGAGTTCTGTGTGTATGAGCTGGATGTGAAAGACGAAGCCATTCACAATTACTTACTGTCACTTTATGCCAAACACAAGCCAGACGCTCTGTTGTGGTACCTCGAACAAGCAGGAACGCACGTCTCTGACATCCACTACGATTTG